TGCCTCGTGGCCGAGGGAGCCGAGGGTCTGTGCGTGAACCCTCTGTGCCAGCTCGGGCCAGGGCACAGAGCGGGACTAGCTGTGGCATCGCTGGAAGTGCCCAGTGGTGCTGGAGTCCGGGCACAGGCTGCCCCTGGGGCTCGTGGGGTACCCCTGCATTGCTGGCAGCAAGCGGGGTCAGCGTTCTCTCCTGCACTGAGCTGTGCCAGGTCTCAGCCCATCCCACAGGAGCCCCGGTGCCTGTGCCCAGTGGTCAGGATGAGCCCACGGGAGGCAGGTCGTGGGTGTGGGACCAAGCACACGGCTCCCTGAGGGCACAGCCCTGGCGCTCAGAGGCTTCATGCCAAGCAAGGAGGGCTTGGCTGCTGCTCATGGTGCCTCTCCCTCCTGGCATTCTCCCTGGCATCTTCCCTGGCACCTCGGGCCCTGCCTGCAGCCAGCTACCTGCCATCACTGCCACAGCATGTCCTTACAAGGGCACGGGCACAGCTCCCACCACTCCTGCCTCGCCCATGCTCGTCCCTGGCATCCGGACCTGCCACACCAAGGCCTCCCTGTGGGCACCCTGCTCTGCCATGGTGCGGCCACCATGCTGCGACACAGCCACCCAGCCCTGCCGTGGTCACCCTGCCACCTGGATCCTGGCATGGCCACTCCAGGGATGTTTGTGCCAACCAAGGGAAAGGGATGAAGCTGTTCCCCTGCATAGCCTGAGCCAGGCAGTGAGGACGAGGCACCTCTGCCAGAACAGGAACCATCTGTCTGGGCAGGTTTTGGGGGTCATGGCTGTGAACTGACCGCCAAATGCTCCTGGATGGAGCAAGGGAGGAGCCAAGAGAAGGGCATGTCCTAACTGCACCAGTGTGGGTGGTGGATGCCACAGGAGTGCTGCAGGGTCCCTGGGTAGGGGGACGGCATCTCCACAGCCTGACGGTCTCCATCGTGCCACCAGGTCTCCCACCACTGCAGCCATGGCAAACAAAGGCCCAGCCTATGGCATGAGCAGGGATGTGCAGTCCAAGATCGAGAAGAAGTATGATGATGAGCTGGAGGACCGGCTGGTGGAGTGGATCGTGGCGCAGTGCGGGTCCTCCGTGGGTCGCCCCGAGCGGGGCCGCCTGGGCTTCCAGGTCTGGCTGAAGAACGGCATCGTAAGTGGGGTCCCGGGGGGGGATTGGCTGGCGGGGGG